CTTGTACGAAAGCAAAGAACAGTAAAGAAGGCGGTACTGATCTCATTCTCAGCAATATCTCTGTATTTTCCAACACTGCACACTATTGGTGCTACAACAGCACACATTTTCTCGCTTTTGTATGTTTGCAATTCTCGAAAATTCAACGTTCGACGAAAATGAGTCCCTTTCCACTCTTTTCAGTGTTTCTTGTTCTATACTTGAAAAAATTGAAACGATTAGTGAGAAAATTAGCTTTTAATCATTTGTATTAATTTCAAACGAAGGTTAAGCAAAACTATGTTTTTTCAAAAAAACTGTACATAACTTAAATATCTGATTTTATAGAACAGATTTTGTGACAGGATCATATCAATGAAAATTAGACATGGGTCATTCTGTGAAATGCCTTACACGATCCGAAGAAAAAATATTAAAAAAAGTAGTGGTGCTAAAAACATGCACTTCTACGCCCGTACTTTCACACGAAATTACGCGAAAAGTACTCAAATGTACGAAAAACGGTAAATTACTTTCTTTCAAAATCTATCTTTAAGAAACAGATTTTAGTATGAGAAAAAATTCATTCTTTAATATTTTGGTTTTAGGAAGAAACGGAAAAAAACTGAACTATAACAATTTACGAAGAATCAGATTATTCAATTGAAAATAAGATCAGCGCCATTCTATTAATCGTTCTTCACACTATCCAACAACAAAATTTAATCAAAATCGATGGAGCTATTTCTTTTTGAAAATTTTGAAAATGTCACAGGAACTTCAAGAAAAGTACCCCCGAAAATTAAAATATTGGTTTCAAATTCATAGGGCCGCGACAAGATCGACGCCAAATCGATTGAGGTATATACATTTTGGAGAAAATCGTCTGAGCGATTTATCCGCTACCGTTGTTCAAAGACAGGCAGACAGACTTTTTACCGTCATTCAAATTTTCGGTATCAAGGACCTACAAAGAATGGATTCTGGGAACACCGCATGTTAGAGAATTTTTTTCTACATTTCACAACTGAATTTATCCACTTTTTCGTTACCATGGCCTTTCAATTAGCGTTTTTATGAGGAAAAAAATCGCCTATTTTCGCGTAGCATTACATAACTTTGTCTCTACTCCGTAGCGAGAAAGTATAATTAGAGAAATTGTTGAAAAAATCTTGAAAATGTTGAGGCTTTACGTAAAGAACCCCGAAAATCAAAATGTTTGTTTCCACATTCCTATCCCATTAGTTGGACGCATTTTCAAACAGTTCGAGACCATCGAAAACCGCGTCGCTCTGCGAAGCGGGATCTTTCGCCAGCCGGGTGAGCGTGCGGCAGCTGCGGGAAGTGTGAGTTCAGGGAGTGCGCTTGCAGGTTGGGAATTTTTTCACATTATTCAGTTTGTTCCAATATCGCCACTACATGTAACATTGCAAAAACTGACATAATCATTCCAAAAAAGGTTCAAATATTAATATGGCTGAGGCCAAGCACAATGAAGGTAAACGGTCAGACCACACTCATCAAATATCAAGGAGCAATTTGATTTCCTGATATTTATTTTCAACACGCTTTCGACTAAATTCACATTACACCGACTGTTAATCAAAGAATAATGTAAGCAAGTAATGTTTCTTTAAACATGTTTGTAGTGTTCTTTTCTTGCACTTCATCATCATAAAAAATACTTTCGTACCAACATTCTCCAATTGGCGAAAGAGGATTAATACTAGGGAGTATCACGGCCTCCATAACAATTTGGGAGTCAAAAGACAAAACGAGTGTCAAAATAATAGCTAATATGTGAATAAATAAAGCAGCCAATTTTGTCCGAAGAAAAGAACTCTCGACCATTGCATTCTGAACTGAATATTTCTAATCATTGTTTTCTAACTGCACTTTATATCTGCCACTTGAAAACATTTATCTCCAACCTCATTTTAATTTGTACGCACGGTACAGTAAAATAAAACAAAAAAATATCAATGCCTCGTTCAAATACTATCAGACATTCACAAGCTTACATTAACATTTGAAGAATATGATAACTAGTAATAAAACTGTAGGATGTATCTCAAACGACTGATATATATACATATATATATATATATATATATATATATATATATATATATATATATATATAAACTAACTTGCATTATGATGTACAAAAGTATTTTAAAACTTATCTAGCCTTCTAAAAAATTATCATATTTTTTTCAAAGAGCATAATTTCTCTATTCGACATTAGTATAATACGTACAATATTTAGTTATCTAGTATGTTTATCTAGTACTCAATATGCTCACAATTAAGCAAGTATTGATGGGAGATATTTAAAATGCATACTTTAAACGCAATTATCATTATGTGTAGAATATGCGTTTCAAAACATTTTGCTTTAGTTGAGAGTAAGTGAAAGAAAATTAATTTTAGACAAATTGACACGTGTTATCTGGACATAAAAAGTTACATATCATATTTTCTTAGTGAGTGTTGCGATAAAAAAGGCCAGTAGAAATGCCGAAGGCGTGCGGAGGGAGCGGAGAATGCGTTGGAGCGTGCGTTCGGAGCGGCCGGCGTGCACTAGGCCTCCTCCGTCGCCAATTAACATTGCCGACGCCCGACGACTCTACTCCGAGCGGCGCGCGCACAAAAACTCGAGTGGCTGTGGCAACGGCCACACGGCCAAGCTGCCCCTGGGCCTCCGCTCCCATTCCCCTACTAGAGGTTCTTTCAAATCAATGCCTTTTTTATTATCATGAAATACATATATTTTTATCACCATGTACGTTACGTTTTGATCGGCTGCAATGCTACATTTCACTAATGTTCTAGTATATCTTTTTTCATTTTCGTAATATTAAGAAGCAAAAGAGAAGCGCCTTGAGCATTCAACATTGCTATTCATTTTACCTTCGGTTACGAATGTGAATAAAAATAATTGATCTTATGCTAATCTTAGTATTTTTGAAAGTGAAGATTATGAATGCTTTGGCTGGCAAAGATGGCCGACATGGTTAGATTTATTGATTTACTGATGTTTCCGGTCACATCAACTACTATAGTTGTTAGTCCCGTCACTGCAGTGAAAGTTTTATCCAGGAAGGCAGCGATATTCTACTAGCGCTCGATGATGTGATCTGTCGCCGACCTGCACATCGGTTTCTGCCTCCAAGTAACTTCTCCAGCGAAGGAAAACCCCAGTCGGGACAAGCTCTAAGTTCTCGGATGCTCTCGCAACATTTGTGGCGGGGTAGTACCTACAAGTGTGTGCGTGTGTGTGTGTGTGTATGTGTATGTGTGAGGGTGTGTAAGAGCAAAGCATAGAACAATGTCGAGAAAGGAAAGATCGCACGCGGTCCGCGACTCGTTTCGACCGGGTACTGCCTCGACGTTCGCCTGGTGAGAGGAACCTCGGAAAACTACTCATTAAATCAGCTGGCCATGGATTCTCATCCTGGCACTGGATAATTTGAATCTGTAGCTAGAGCCTATAATCACCCATTGTCGCGACTCCAAGCGTAGCAATTCCCGGTCAGAGTCGCTGCAAGAACAACGGTAATGCTGGCTCTGAGCTATCGCAGTGGTACGTGGCTGGACTAAGTGGAGATTCAAGGCCAGTGTTGCTGTTTTTCAATTCCTGAGCTGAGTAAGAGTGTAATGTTTTGTTCAGCTTTCAACCGATTGTCGGAATTAAGCTTGGATCCAAGAGGTGGATGCACAATGCATGATCCATATCACCAGTAAAGACATTTATTCAGTCATTTATTTTCTACTTATAAACCCGCCGATTCGGACCGGTCCTGGGAACCAATGTAAATGCTTCGCTTTTACAATTTAGATCTAGGAGAACTACAACAGCACGTACTTATTCGCATTATTTGTAACGGTTTCATAATACTGCAATACTAGTTGAAAACTAAAAAGTGTTTCCAAACCACCAAAATTTCGGTTGATGCTGGGATTCAATTCTACATATTTAGTTTTGTGCATAACAACTCCGAACGTCAGAATCGGGGTACCAACATTTCCAAAGCTTTAACGAAAGTTTATCACGTGCAATTTTCGAAAATTCTGTGCTTTTACGGAAAGTTTAAAAAGTTTAAGTAAAAAAACAAGCCCGAAAATAAATGCATATTTGAAAAAAAATGTTTATGTAATATTTTAAAAGTTTTCATTTTTTCCTTTAACTTGACGGGTAAACCACTTATATTCACAACAAAATACCTGACATTATTGAGATTATATAAGGTCTAATTTTTAAAAACAGGACCAATTTCTTATTATCAATGTAGTTGTAGAAAGACAAAAAATTTAAACATTTGCAATATAACAGAATTCAGTAACGTAGATGAGACTAACAAAAAATTTAACCGTGGTATATCCGAATCTAAAATTTGGAGCAATTTTGAGAAAATTTAAAAATGTTAGACTTCTTGTAAAGTATCTCCAAAAATAAAAATACTCCTTTGAAATTTGCAGAGCCTTGTGTTCTACCAGATCGATCGGGCGATTTTGGAGAAAATCCTCTGAAAAGTTCAGGTGCAAGAATTGAGCACGGACAAACAGACTTACGGACAAAGTGCTTTTGCTGTAAAACAATTTTTAGGTACCAAGGAACAAAGTAGCGTGGATTGTGAGAAGGCTACGTTTCAGAGGAAATAATATAAATATATGAAGATTGAACAACTTTTTTCGGTATTATGGATCCCATTTTTGTTTCGAAATTTTCGCCACTCCCGCTGTAGTATTGAAATAATGTCTGTACTATGCAAGTACCCAGTAGCCGAGAAATTAAACATGAATAATTTGGCAATAACAAACAAATATTACTAAAACATGAGATAGTGCTACACTTACAGTGGTAGTGAAGCAATTCTTAATGTCATAAAGCAATGCAAGAAATGAAAATATTTCTCGCAAATATTAGAGTAGAGTTGGTATTGTCAGAAGGAAAATGTTAAAATAAAGTAATAAAGTGATCAATAGAGGGGTAGAAGAGCATTTGCATTCTCACTCACCTTCAGAGATCAGTCGCTCTCGTATTTCCCAGGCAAATATGGTAGGGTTCTCCCGTTTGTATTGCTCAATCTTGGACACGACGGCAGGAGTGGCCACTTTGGGTTTACTTCCACCGATGAGTCCCGGCGGGCGTAGTGTTCCTGCAACGAGATACACATTAGTATTTTACGGCCTCGGTGCTGCGAGCACCTCTGTAGACGCCGCGCGGTCCCAGCCCCTGCCACTCTCAATTGCTTAGGCTGCTCTTGAGCGTTTGTAACGCATGGGTTACTACGCAAGTACGAACTTCATTCAACACACACTACTTTTTCATTGATGGTTAGAAAACGGCTAAAACTTTTTGCCAAAGATATTACACCTAAAATCTGTTGTGGTAGATTTAATGTAATCACTATGAAATGTCTAATGTTTTGGCAGGCACATCAAAATGCGCCCGCACGATCTACTTGCTCGAAGTCCGGCGTTCCTAAGAGCACGGGCAACTTCCCCTGTCTAAGCTCTCAATTCCCCTCCAAGTCCAGAGAGGGGTGTACATGCACAAGCTGAAGTAGTGCGTGGTGGGGAATAGTGACTTCATCCGAAAATGTTTCCCAGTTTTGTTCTATCAAACAATCGATATTGAATTATGAGTATATTCTTTACTATTTATAACTATCTCATGTTTACTATATTTTTAAATTCTGCCTGGTAGAAACATTCTTCCCTCACCCAGTCCCGTAGAAGAAAAAATGACCCAGCCTATTGTCAAAAATGTATCTCTGGTGTAAATCAATAGTGGTCGCTAATGACCTTAGTTAAAAAGCGACCAAGTATAAATAATAAAAAACAACCAAGGAGCCAAGGAGCAGGAATAATTTGGCGGATTCATAAATTGACAGGTCTGTAGAAGTCAACAATTCTCGCGTGCGGATGGTTAGCACTTTTAAATGTACAAGAATCTTGGTATGTCGAACCTCCAAACCTGAACTTGAAAAGTTATTGATATTATATCACTCTAGTAAACACAATTACTAAATTAAGATACTTTCGTTCCAAAATGTTTAATTTTACTCTCAATTGAGAATTAGAAAGCTGACTCGTGTATTACTTCATTTTAATGATCATTTCAATGGCGTATCGCTACTCCGGAGACATTTGTTCAACCCTTACTTTTAGATCTCGCCCCCAATTTTTCTCGTCAGTGGTTCAGTGAACCCCCATAAAATTCCATTATATCAAATATTTTTATTCCAGCTGAATGAAGAGTTAATGCGTGTTTTTATTGTCTTGAATGAGGCTCTTAAGCTAAGCATTCTGCCAAATGTTCAGTTGGCAGCGAAGGTCTGATGCGCCGCGTCGGCGTCGTCTCGTGCCTCCGCGCTGGCGGAATAGGAGGTTCACTGAGCGGCAGAGAGCCCTCGAGCGGCGTGAACTAATGGCAGGGGCGGCGGTAGGCCAGGGGGAAGATGCAGCGAATATATGGCTCGTGCGCCAATCTCCCCGCCAGGTCACCTTCCGAAGGTCACCGAAGGCGGCGGAACACCACGACCACCACAAAGGCTTCTTAGTAAAGAGAGACCCAGAAAGGCAGAGTCTCAGAGGAATCCCAAGCTTTTTTCGACGAACGTAAAGTCTTGCCAACTAAGTATCATATTTATGTTATAAAACATTATTTGTGCTGTATCTTCTTCAGAACATGACATGAAATAGATTTAAATAATTAAAGAAATGTGAGTTTAATGTATTGAACAAATATTTTCTTTATCTTTTAAAGTTTCTAATTTCCGAACCTTTGAATTCTAGTTAATTTTTTTATCGATTTATACCCCATGTGGACATTTTGTACAATCATTTACAACTCCGCACCAGTGACATTCTTTCTATAAAACATAGCATAACATTCATTGAAAAAGAAATTACAAAAATAGGAGAGGATGTTGATCAAATTGCTACAACTGAAAGGTCGCGAAAAGAGGAGGCGGGAAAACCAATGCTCATCAAGATCCATTGCAGCGAAGGAAGTGTGTGATGTAATTGTGAATCATTGTAAACAAAGATTTGAATTTTGCAACCACTTGATATCTTCTATGTTATTTGATAATGTTCAATTTTCATCATTCAAAAAAATTTCCAGACAAATACATTTCAGAACTTATGGAAACATATTCCTTTTTAAACAAGCATCAATGGAAAACAGAATTCCAAATTATTTACTCCAAGGATGACTTTGAGGAACACGCTAGTGTGACAGCTCTTCTTGGATTCTTCACTGAAAATAACCTCGGTGACTCATTCAGTGAAGTGATTCGATTATTGAAATTAGTTGCTACAATTCCCATGACAACATCGGAAGCAGAAAGATGTTATTCAACTCTGAAACGACATTTCTCAGAAATACAATGAGTGAAAAAAGAGTGACTGCTCTTGCCATCTTATCTGTTGAAAAAGACATAATAAATGAAATTAGAAACTTCAATGAGAATGTAATTGATGAATTCGTGGACAAGAAAGAAAGAAGAATAGACTTCCAGTACAAGCAGTGCTGTCGCTGATATCTGCATCATTAACAGGAGTTTTACTCAACGGTATGTATAAGAGCTATTATTTGTCTTCCAAAAATAATTTATTTCAATTTTAAGTATATATTTTATAATCTATACCATAACTATTTTTCAAATGACATTTCTATTGTTGCTTATATTATCTCATATTACTGGCGTCCCTGAGTTATAAGATTCTAATTCTTGTGAACCCCCTTTGATTACGAGCACGCGCCGCCACTGGTGCATAGCTACATCTAGTAACTCCATGGGTAACATTACGGTTGGGAAATCCGAATAGTGGGGTTCAGAGAAAAACGAGACTGATAATATAAAGAAAATAAATAAAGTGCATGTTTATGAAGTAGATATGAAGTATTACTAGAAAAACTAACGGTGTTACAACAGCATATACTTTCTCACATTATTTCTAAATTTACACTTTCCGAAAATTCAGAACGTTCAACGAAAATGAAACTCACGCCATTATTTTAAGCGTCACCTCTTTTATGCGTGGAAAATAATAGAAGAAATTTTTTCAGCGATTTCCGAGAAAACGTTTTTTTTCATTGCCTTGATTTTAAGCCCAATTTATGGGAAATTTAAAGAAAATGTTCATGTGCTTGTTTTTTGAAACAGGTTTTATATAAGGCAAAAATTCTAATTTCATTTTGAGATTTTCAAATGTTAACGTTCTGCAATTTTCGAATATATCGAGTTCCCCGAAAACGACATTAGCACCTTATTTTTACGGCCCCTTGATACACATGCGGAAAGTAAATAAATAATTTGGTGCCGTTTTAGAGAAAAAGTGATTAAAAAATTAAAAATTGCCTATATTTCACGCAAAAGTACGCGAAAAATACTTACGTTAATTAAAAACCCAGTGTGTCCATATGACACGCTCAATTTTACGATTCTTAGAGGTAAAATAACACTTTTATTATATGCATGACTTACTAATGCAAAGACATAAAATCGAAAAATAATTTGGACAGTTTAATGTATTACGTCATAAAACTAGTCAGGAAAGAACACGTCACCATCTCAACGAATAAAAAACACTAAAATCTCTAAACATTATTGCATTCTGAATTATAAAGTTTGACTTCACGTTGAATGGGGGAAAACCATTTACATATCATTAGGGAACGGATTTTGGTAAAATAGGACGTAAAATAAATACATATTTTTAATATTACATGATAACTACATTCAGATAATATTACATGTTTTCGAATTTGCATGATATTTTCGATGAATTAAAATATTTTTATTTTACACATTTTTCATATTTTAGTATCGACACATATTTTTACTAATTTTGCCTATTAATACATATTTCTTTCATATCTCGTTACATTTTAATATTTTTACCCGTCAAAACGAATATTTCACACACGAGATTGCAAATAAATGTTCCGGGAATCTTCTTTCTGTGAAACAAAGCAAATTATACTTCAGTTCTATAACTCGAGACCATCGCCTTTAATTGTTAAACACTGTTTCTCGGAAATTGCCTACTTGGATTCAAAAATTAACGAATATTTGCGCAGCAGAGGTAATCATAACCACGTGTTTGCTGTTTTAAAAGGAAAACTCCTTAGCGTTGTGATGTACTCAATATATTGCTCTTGCTTATATATTATTATAATACATATATTATAATATAATATATATATATATATATATATATATATATATATATATTATATAATATAATATATATTAAATAAACCGAGTTCAACTACATACTTGAAGTGAATGGCTATTTATTGTTTCCAGGCGCATCATCTACTACTGAAATCACTCGTCACTTGGTAAGAGTAGTGCATATTGTATTCCGGGTGGTGGCGGTCTTCTCTCCCCGATGGATGATCGTCGGATTGTATAGTTTCCTCATCCAGGTACCCACGAGCGGAGCACCTCCACAGCTGCGTCAAGCTCTAGGCCAGTGCTTGCCATCTTATGCTCTGTGACGTCACAGAAATCTGCTCTCCTGCCCGTCGCGGCGGCGAGCGTACATTGTTCCAATGGTGGCATGGAAGTGGGGGGGGAGGTTCGTTTGGCGTTATTTTAACAATCAAATTACAGCACAATGGCATTTTTCACTCCAGTGCCTTGCTACCTCGCGGGCATTTCGTGCCTTCTTTACATCACTACGTGTTCAATACCTACGTGTTGATTTGATACTTCAGTAGTTCAATGTGTTTTACAACGAACTAATAATTATAATTACAATTGCCTGAATTGCTGTGAATTATTTACATCCCACGTGAGTGTGTGAACGCGCTGCAGAACTGTTAATTTATTGTTGCAGCAATGTATCTCATTCGTGCACATTGCAGTACTGTGTTGATCTTCCTGCTTAAACAGGGACTGCGCGGGCAATCATTCTAGCGAGAACATGTTTCCTTCATGTATCGTGAACGTTCCAACGTATTCTATCATATGGCAGGCCTGCCAACGTGCCAGTCTGGACGCCTGGTTCAACACGAAGCTCCCTGCCTGGTCGGATCTGGAAGCGGGCTATTCGATACATCGACACGCACGGCAGCTCTTCCAGTTGTCGCACGTAACTTTCTGTGGCCTTCCTCTTTTGCAGCACAATGGGTAAATTC